AATTTTTGGAGTAAAGGTAGTATTAGCAAACCCTCGGTGTTTCCTGTTTCTTTCTCTAAATTTTTATATGACTGGAATTCAAGGAATTTGGATTAAATTTCCTCCAGGATTTCCTGACATCTGTCAGCTTGGTTGCAGCACCAGCTCCAGGAATGTGCAGGCCCTCACAGCCTGTCTTGTTCATGCACACTGCAAATTTAGAGAACAGATGCAGAGAGGGAGCCTTTGGCCTCCCTGCTCCTAAATTCTGCTCTTAAATTCTGCTCCTAAAATTCAGCATATCTGAAGTCTTAAGAACCTGTCAGACTTGCAATGTCTGCAAGATGGTCAGTTCAGTGAGAGTGTAGAGTGCAAGCCCTCTGTTTATTCCAAATGTGCATATTTATGCTTGGTAAATCCCATGCAAAAAAATTATGCCATTTGATCAGGGAATTGATTGTAAAATAATTTTGTGGTCATACCTGAAATCCACCCATTTGTATTGTCTCTTTTGCATTTCTACCGTAGCAGAGACAATAAAGATAGGACACTGTATTGTCTTGCCCATCCATAAAGGATCTGGAGGAAATCCTAATTCATACAGGACAGAAAAGCAAAGCAGTAGATAGTAATTTTTTCTTTCATAGGAATGCCAGAGTATACTGAGCAATGCCTCTTTTCCAACTCAGAATCAATGAATTGAGCAGTTACTGACAATCTCTAGTTAAATTAACAAGCCCTGTGTGCAGGCAGGATTGCCAGCTCAGATTCAGCACAGCATGAGGGTAGCTCAATCCTACTCTAGACAGAAGTCCAAAGGTTAAAAAAAGTGTGGTTTCATCAGTTCTAGTCATAGACTTTGGAAACAAAAGACACAAAACCCAGCTTTCCCTTCCTTCTGCTGGCATTCCCCTCTAAAATGCTGTTACCTTTACCCATGGATTTACAGGCAAGAACAGCCTGCACACTGTCAGCCTGAGTTACCGTGGCTGCTCTGTTGTCTGTCACAGTTTGTTGCTCCAGGTGGTCACTCCTGTTGCCTCCAGCTGGGTTTTGCTGTCCAAAGGGGCTGTATAGCACCTTGTGTTCAGAACAATGTTTGACATGTCAACAGCCTTTAGCAATGTCTATGATTATCTGTGGATCTGAGACCCCTGAGCAGGAAGCTCTTAGCACCCTTCAACAGAATGGTTTTTCAATTTACACAGAAGAGGTCACACCAATTTACAGTGATTCCAACACAAAAAGAGGGCTCTACCACAATAGGATGGCCACAAGGGATGAAGCACCTCCCCCATGAAGATGTGCTGAGAAAGCTGGGGTTCTTCAGTCAAGAAAAGAGGGCTCTGGGGAGATTTCATTGCAGCCTTTCAGAACCTTATAGGGGCTTATAAAAAGGAGGGAGAGGGGCTTTTTCTACAGGCAGACAGGACGAGGGTCAATGGTTTTAAATTGAAAGAAAAAAGGTTTAGATTAGATATTGGGAAGCAACTCTTCACTGTGAGGATGGTGAGGCCCTGGCACAGGTTTCCCACAGAAGATGTGGATGCCCCATCCCTGGAAGTGTTCAAGGCCAAGTTGGGTGTAGCTCAGAGCAACCTGGTCCAGTAAATGGCATCCCTGCCCTTGGCAGAGGGATTGGAGGTAAATGATCTTTCAAGCTGCCTTCCAAGCCAAACCTTGCTGATTCTAAAAGCCTTAATTGTTTGCAGATGCTATTTTTGAGGGGGAATAAGAGTATTGGGATAGATGAAGACCATTAGAAACATATTTGGTCACTAGAAGGTTAATTCAGTAGCTCCATTCCAGGAGGGCACAAAGTTTCCCATAAGTCCTGTGTGATACCTGCCAGCTTGACAAAGTCCAGTTTATTGCAATTTACACTGGACTCCTAAGCATGGACAGAAAAGGCTTGAAAATATCTTCAAAACTGTGCACTGATTTTAAAATGTACTTGCAAGAAGTATCTGTTCCTTGCAGATCTAAACACAGAAACCACATGCTATAGTGGTAATGCTAAGATAATATTTCTCAGGCCCTCCTGTCCTGCTTCCTTCTATTCTCAAGGATTTAGTGTTAAGTGTTTGCACTATCTCAAATGCAATAATCACGGTGCTAAAACACCTCCATGAGCTGTCTCAAAGCTCTTTTTTGATAGGATTTAGTTTTCCCAGTCTCAATGGATCAGCTTCCAAATTCTCCACAAGGAATGCCAGCTTCTTGAAGCAGAGAAAAAAAGAGTAGCTGAACAATCTCCTTTTAATCTGCAGTTGGCTGAATCCTCTTTTCCTCTTGTTCTCTTCCAATTGGGCAGGGGCACCTGCTGTCAGAATCCCATAAATCAGCCAAGTCCCTAGAAAACAACCTTTACAATAGGTCTCTGTGCTCATAAGAACTTCAGCATGGCTGCAGAGGCTATTTATACACTGCGACTCATCTCCCACTGGTTCTCAAATAGACTCTAAAGTGTCCTGCCACGTCACTTTACCACCACAGAAATCACCTCTGCAGCTAACAATAATTAATGAAACCACACAGGGTAAGATTCATCTCAGCTATTTTTGGTCATCTAAAGATTAGACTTCTCTGTTAAGGAAAAAAGCCTGTCCCTGCAGTCCTCATATTCATTTTCTAAAGAAAATTCATGTCACCTAACATCAGTAAAGACTGACATGCCCTCTGGACAAACTTATCTTTCTCCTCTGACTGTCTAAGAGACAAACTTAGATGCTAAACTTTTAAAAAGTGTAAGATAAAAGAAATTAATCATATGTGGTTTGACAATTTTTGAATTTTTGGCCCAGCTGACCAAATTTGTCAATCAACTGAACTTCCAAAAAGAAAGATAGAATTATAATGTGATTTATTTCATCTCACTTTAGATAGCTAATACTCAAAGCAGTTCAGACCCTCTTGCAGTCAGAGATAAAGAAATCCCAAGGGCTGATGGCTGATTTTCTTGTGTGTAGGAGCCAAGGTAGTAATGTTAGAACCAAGTAGTTGTGTGTAGTAACCAAGGAAAGCATTGGGCAACATAGTTACATTTCTCCCTTTTAGTTATATGAAATTGAGCAAACAAGTCCTCCCTCTTGTGACTTCCCTGCAGTGTTATCTTATGTACACTATAAATTTCCACAATGTATGTTTACAGATAAATTAATACCTTGTTAGTACTGTTACAATTTTTTTTCCCCAGTGCATTTCTCTTGATAGGAACAAGTTCACTGTTTGGCAGCAAAAAGTCTACTGCTGATCTGCTGTACTTCCTTTGTTTATACCAACCATCAGCTTGCTTTTAGCAAAAAAATGCCTTAAATACTAGAATCAGTATGTTTGTTCTTGATAGATCATGCCCAAATAGTACAGATATTAATTAGCTGAGTAATTTATGTGTGTCGAATTTATAATTTTAATTCTCCCTAGCAGCTCTATCATATGGTTGAATGTTGGGACATTCTAAGGTATGACATGACCAAAGACTGACCAATCTCCAGCTTCTAAACCTCTTTACATGTTAGAAAGCATAAATCCCAACAGAGAAAAGCAGTAGCTTCCAAATAAACGAGCAAGATGGAAAGTACAGTCATGTCATTTCTAAGTGATACATTGCTCACTGTCACCATTTCAGGAACAACAAGCCTGATTTGAAAGTGAATGTCCTCTATCCCTCCTCAGTGAAAGAAAATCAATTTGTCTGTGTCCGCTCCTAATTAATTGTTCTCAGGAGGATCTGGAACATAATCCACTTTGAGGCTTGGTTTTCTTTCCCTTCCTTCCTTACATTTTCCCAGCTTGTTCTTATTTTCCCCACTTGTTCTTAGTTGTAGGGCTACAGGACTAAGGCAATGTGCAAAACACATCAGTACTGCTATTAACCAGAAATGCCATTGTTTAGTAGTCTTAACAACTTCCAGCACATTAGGAATAAATCTCCAGCCCTTATCATCCCTGGTGTATTTTGTCCATATGTCAACTTCTTTTTGCATTTCAACTCATGGGGGATTTCTTACCATAACCAGCCACTGTTGCCAACACTGAAGCATTTGGGCTCAAATATAATGCACTTGGACTGTAAAGAAATATGCAGGAGACAGATGGCAGGAGATGAGATTTTATTACTGTGATGTTTCTCTTTTTAGATTAAATCCCAGAATACATACTGTTGAAATTACCCTGCCATTTGTGGTTAAAAAGAAAGAACAACCACTAGATGGCACATTGAAGGAGACAGTTTTTACATGGCAAAACACATGGCACTTCCAAATACTGTCCCATGAAATGCATAAAATGGGTTTAAATAAGACAAATCAAGCATTGAAATATCTTAGTGAGAGAAAGACTAGAAGAAGACCAGGCTAACATTCACAAATTATAAAGCAGCATGGAAAGGGAGATGCTGTCGCTAGCTTTGATTTTCATTCTCTCCACAAACCAGGACTACAGAAATGCACACTGCTGTTTATACAGAGTGTGTCAGCAGAGAAAGGAGGGAGAGCACAATGTGGGAACATCTGTTCTGAGAAACAGGTTGAAAATAGCCATGTAATAGCATGACAGAAACATCTGTGCAATATGCACACTACCATGAGCAGAGCATCAGGAGGGACAAGGATGCAAACAAGTCTGTGAGCAGTAGGTCAGGAAGAGGCTCACTGTTGGGCAGGAAATGCTTCACTAATCCTTTTTACTTATTGCAGCCCCATTATTATTTAAAAGGTAAGAGTACAGAAGGAGAAGGAACTTCCTGTGATATGGGCAGATGCTACAAGAAGGGCTGCATTGCATATCCGATGACCCAAGGACTGTTAAGGAAATGTGCTGAACAGTAATCATAATTAGGAGACAAGCAGCAAGCTAAATATAATATTAATCAGAGCTTCTGTGCCATGTGTTAACCAATACTGTATTTTTCTCCTTATGAGGAGTAATGGATTATACCATATCTGTTCAAATAGTAATGCACTGCTGAAATTCTGTCTCTGATAACGTGAGGACATGGAATAGATTTGTTCCGTTTTTTCCTCAGACATTCCAAGGTACGTGTAACCCAGCAGGCTGCAAAAAATAAATGGACAAAATAAATGGACAAGTCTTCAAGCAACAAGTTTTCCCAGTACAATCTTCACTTCAGCCATCAGCAAGCAGAAACTTGACCTTCAGGCTTCAGGTATGGTTCTTCTTACCATCACAAAAATCTGATTTGCCTAAAGAAAGAAAGAAGGAAAGAATCTAGTTAACCATACTTTGAAATGGTAATGCAATAAAAAACATCCATGCCTGCATTTACACATGGGTGGAGCAGGCAGTGTGAACACATTTCTGATGTGCAGAAGTACTTTTGAATTATTCCTGAATAGCACACACACCACTCTCCATAGAAATATGCAAATACCATCTATGCAAATTCAGCACTTTTCTGCACACATCTTAAGCACAGCCCACTCATTTCTCAAGTCTTAGACAATATGAGGATCTATGTAAAATTCAGTATCATTCTGGTAGCTTTCCCAAATATGTCAAACCAGGGGGAATTCCAGAATCTGTGCTGTACATGTGAAATGACATTCAACAGGATTCCCTCCTTCACTGGTGATACTTTCCCTAATTGTTTGCTATAACTGAAAATAATTCTGTAACGTATAAAGCCAGCACTTAATAATCTTATTGCTGAAAAAAGAAAATGGATCAATAAGAATAGAAAAATAACACTGTCCTGAACTGTTTCATACTGACAATTGGTGTTGGTAGGGCTACATTTGGTGAAGGGAAGATGTTTTGACATGGAAAAAGCATTGCAAACCACAATCATTTAAAGTGGTTGGTGACACTTTTATAAAAACATTATCAGCCACCACTGGAGGTACAATAAAACAATGACTATTTTAAGAATCATTTCTGACTGCATGTTCTCCAAAATTCTGTGACTTTCTCACAAAGTCTCACAAGGTTAGACTGGCCTAAAATGGTGCTGCAGCCAACAGGAAACATTGCCAGCAATGTGTCAGGGATAGCTAGCAAAGAAGGAAAAATTTCTGTGTGCACTCACATGAGAGTGCTAATCAAAAAAAATGGCTCTGAAAAAGCTGAAAAATCTCTGGGTGTGAAAGAACTGGTGACCAGAAGTTGTGCCACCAAGATTGCTGTCATTTCTTCACACTCCCTTTCATACAGATCACAATCTTCCTCCTTCACCTCCTTCAGGACAGAAACTCTGGGCCTCCGGATTTACCATCAGTGAAAGAAAAAGGACCAAATGTCTGAAGAAATTCTAAATCAACCATTAAGAAAAACTAAAGTTTTCTGCCTAGAGACTTAGCTTTTACAAATGCTTGTCACCAACCACAGAAAATTAAATGATTATGGCTTAATCTGGTTTTGATTGCTGGGGGTTTTTTTCCTCTAATAGTCACAAATCGACCAAATTCTTCAATTAGCAAATAAAACAAACAGATCTAGATAATTCATAGATAAATGATTGGGAAGAAAAGTTGCAAATAAAAAGGTAAGCATAGCAGTAAGGTAGAGAGAAAGGAATAACAGGCAGTAACCCTCTGGTATTTTTGTGCAGCCTTACTTTTATCCATTGTGCATTGTATGCAATGCTAAGAGAAAGAAATTAAGACCTTTACAATACAGCTTGATGGGAATAAAAAAGAAAGTGAGAGAATCAGACCCATCTATGAGATGGATGAATGAAGCAATAGAAATTGTATAAATATGATCTGTTGGAGGACGGAAGCAACTGAAAGACAGACAAACACCTAAAAGGTCCAGAAGAAGGAAACAATTAAGTTAAACACAAACCACTGAAACTATTAAAAAGTGTTGTTGACTGATACTGGGTTGACTAGTTTTGCTTGCTGGAGCAGAAGATGGTTTCAGGCAACAAGGCACACCTGAGGATGAATAACCCAAAAGCCCTGAAGATGGGTAAACAACTGAAGGAAATTAATGTAGCTTTATTGAAGTCAGACAAAATCAGATGGGAAATGTGGCATTAATTTTAAGCATATGGTATAAATGATAAACCACTGGAATAAACTATTGCCTCACCATCTGCTGATACTATCAAAAATAAGATTGTATATCTTTCTGGAAAATAAATATTTTACACAACCACATGTTACTGAGCTCAAAATAGAAGCAGCTGCATGAAATCTAAAGTCTGAAAATATACGTCATCAGAAGAGTTGTACTAATGGTTTCTTTATCCTAGAAATCTGTAAAGCTTTCCCAGGATCATATTTGGATGGTGAAAGGGTGTCAAATGGCACATGAAAAACAAGTCATTGATACCAATATGCACAGCGATACAAAACAGACCATAATATTTAAATTTCCTTTATGTGTGTGTACATGCATGTTTAAATAAGATTTTAAAATTAAAGACATATTTGTGGTTCTCCATAAACTTAAAAAAAAAGAAAAGTCAGTGTTGTCGTGATCTCTGTAGCAAAATGACTGTCATAGTGCCAAATAGTGAGTGATACTGCAAAATATTAGCAGAAGATGAAAATTGAATAGCATAGTATGTCTGAAACATATTACCACATATTCTTCCTTGGACTAGGATTTCACTTCTGCTAGTTTGCATTCTTTGTTAATTAAAATGAAATAGCCACAGATGGAAGTTACTTTACACAATTGACCTGTGTTACATGAGTTGAAATCAAGACTAACCCATGGCAGATACAGAGCTGAAATCTGTTTTCCCTTCACCACCAAATGCTACAACTTCTGTAGCCACCATGACAGCAAACTGTCATCCTTCAAAAACGACACAGGCTCTTCTCACCAGTCACTAAATCTTAGGAAAGGTGTAATTCCAGAAAGCCAAAACAGTTGACAAAACCAATACAGAAACTGGAGTTATTTCCAGTCTTGTTTACTCAGCATTGCTCAAAGCCTCCACAGTCTCACCAAGCAGGAGCAATGTTATCCAAGGCATCTGCACTAGAAATGGTTCTGTCTGTGCTGGTCACCCCACCACACATAGAGAGAGCAGAAATAAACAAACACTTTAAGGATGAGATGCTTCCTGGTCTGTAGTTTTTCTCTATAATAGGGCAGATGAAAGTGCCTTTTTCATTTAGGGGAAGACAAGAACAGAAAGTACAGCACGGATTTGTAATATTAGGAAGGATGTATAACCCCTCTTTCTCTGGAACAGCAGAGTTCTGAGTATTTTAGGAGTTTTCTAACCATTGTGTATAAATGGAAATAAGATATACAGCTCTCTTGGATTAAAGCATTTACAAAAATCTTTAGTATTTTAACTCCAGTAAGCAGCCTAGAAACTTTCAGCAGATTAAGTGAAGGACCATTTTAGATACCTTGGGATATCTGAGGCATCTGTAGATGTATGGAAGATCCAAGACAGTGTCTACAGGGGCTTTCCAGCTAAAGGTCAAGAATAACCCATGGAGTCCAAAATGGTTGTGATCTGAATGCTGACTTCTTGTTGCTACCTCATTTTCAATCACTTTGCTTTAAGAAATGCAAACTGACACCGTCATTCCATTTTATGTATAGACCAAGTTGAGTTATCAATAGCAAGAGAACCAGGAACTGGAAGCAGTGACCTTTGCAGTTCCCTTCCAAATCAGGTTATTCATGGATTCTATGACTCAAGCAGGTTGTCTCTCAGTTTTGGTAGGTAAGGATGATTCCCACAGTCCATTCTGACAAAAATGTTGCATCTCATCCAAAAGTGTTTCACTATCAGCTTTCTCTTTACTTGCAAAGTTAGCTATATAAATATTATTGAATTTTTCATATTTTTTAAAAAAATTAAAATAGATTTTTTAAAAAACATAGGGAGTCCCATCTACTTTCAAAGGATATGAAAAAGCTTTTCAAGGTAAATCATTATAGTACTCAGACATAATTCTTCATATATTTCAAATATAAAAACTTCTCTGTTTTCCCATTAAAAATTCTGACTTAGACAGAATTGTCTTATTTAATTTGGTCTAATATGCAGATGAGTATTTCACATTATACCGGTCTTTTATTTTCTTTTATCTTAAAATCTTAACATTTACAAACATATTGTATTGAACATTTATTTTATACTCAATTTAATTAATAGAAACTATTCAAAGTCATTTGAAATGCATTCCACGTTGATTGAAATAATTAGTGTAGGGCTACTCAATATTTACTTTAGATATGAATCTAGAGGGATTTGATAAAATTAATTAGCAGGAACTAATTATAGTTAGGATATGAGTTAGGGTTTAATAAATATAATTACAGAGTAAAAATGATGGATTCTTAATTAATAGATACTAGTTGCCAAACATTGAAGAGAGATTATCATATTTCTGTGCAGGACATGCTGTTAGGCACACCTTCAGTTCCTGAGGAAATAGTGACATTTAAAGTGTTTAGGGAGGGGTCTGAGGGGGAGTGAAAAACAGATAAACTAATTTGTTCCTATTTTGCAGTGAAGGTATCAGATCAATTCATGAAAGCTGCCTTCTGTACAGGGATACCTTCCTGCCTGTAGTGTGTTGGCAAGTGACACGGTGGCTACGCAGCAGAATTCTAGAGGTATTTAGGCATTTAATGATGACAGTAGGCTTGTGATGGGATTTTGGTATTACTTAGCTGTTTCTAAACATTCAGCTTAACACCTGATCTCTTCTTATATGTGCCTAACTCTAACTGCTTAGCTCACTTTGTTTTCTCTGTGTCTACCTAAAAAAAGGGGATAATCAAGTTTTCTGTCTTAACATAATGTTTTGGTTATAACTTCTTCTAAGGCAGTTAAGTAATCAACTAGTGGAGTATTAAAGGCTCTATAAATATTATGATAAATTGATGGAAGAATTGCTGTCTATTTTGAGGCAGAAAGCTGGCCATGTTTTAAATTAATTTTCTGCTTTTGGATTCTTCCTTCCTCCAGGGTTCATTGCACTCCACAGCTTTTTAACATGTGTCTACATAACAGTCCAGACATGCAAGTGCTGTGTCAAAGGCTGGCATTTGACCTGTGTGATAGCACACCAGAGAAGGGATGGGAGTGAGTGGACACATATCTTATTATTTCAAAATGTGAAGGGCAGGTTCATAAATTGCAATTACTGACCAATGGTAGAAGAGGGGAAGAAGCTAATTATTATTTGGAGAGGAAGAAAGCTAGACTGTGATAAGTATGTTCTCTTACCCTGTTCTAAAAACTTATTTAAAAAACACTCCCCAGACTGAATCACAAATCATCCTTACTCACAAGAACTGAATTTTGTCCTTGCATAACTTCAGGACTTTCTGAGTAAGTGTGAAAACTACTCAGAAAGTCATGAAATTAGTAAAGAACATTAAAAAAAAAAAAAAAGTATATCTTATTATGAACAGCAATTACATCAAGAACTAAAATTTCTGTGCATTTTCTTTTTAAGAATTCATGGGGAAACTAAATTAAAGATGGGGTGTTTTGCCCTGGCACATTTTCTCCATTCATCTCACTCAAAAAATCTTCAAGTTACTCTGAAACAAGTAGACTGAACCAGGTACTTCTAAGGGGCCCTTTCCAATGTGAATGATGCTGTGACTCTGTGACCAACCACTACCCAGAATGAAGAGCAGCAGCCATCTCTTTCTAGCACAGAGAAGAGCATTACATTTCCAGCAGTATTAGGCAATATTTATTTTCCAGTTTTCCCCTTCCAGGACACAACTAAATGCCCTGATTGTTAGAGACACCAGCTACTTGCTGCTCACACACACTTTGTGCCTGGGTGTTAATCTGGAAAGCCTTATGATTTACCTGCACTGGTAATTTCTTAGCTTCTAGCAAGGCTCCCACCTTCTCTTGCAAATGTTTGGGTAGAAGAGGCCTTGAATACCAGATTTTTGCCACTGTAAAAATTTTCAAGCAGTTTGGTATTATTTTGCTGACATCAGCTGCATATCCAGCTGGTGCAAAGGTACAACTTCTTCACAGCAGCTCACTGAACCAGAAGTTGATCTGTTTGCCAAGTATCCCATAGTGAGAGTCAGATGAGAAAAGCATGAGACCAAGCCAGAAAAGGGAAGTTATTGAATCATAATATCACCCACATTATTTACCAGTCAACTCACCTCAGACCTGCTATTTAATGCTTATTTAGGTAAGACTCTATTAGCTAGATTTAATTTTCTTCTCTACTCTTTTAAGTATGACTGTAAAATATGAGGATTTAAAATCCTTTCACTCCAAAAAACTCAACTTTTCTTCTAAATTTAATGTAAAATAAAAAACAACTACTCAAAACACAATAATCCCTCAACCTTTTTTTACCTGCTATAAGCATTAAACTAAGATTATTAAATTAATTTAAAATTATTTAATTCTATTCTATTATTTTGTATGCCATTTGAACAACAAAAAGAATGCAAAATATGTTGTTCCTTTTATCAGTGTCTTAAGAAAATACTACTGAGCTCTAATCCCTTGTGGCATTCCTGGAGAAGTATGGAGCTGAGGATTGGTAGCCTCTCCTCCAGCAACAGCAGTGGGAAATCCGGGAATCAGAAGAGCCTCGACCAAGGTGTCCCATTTTAAACACCAGAAATTGTCTCTTTCACAGCCACAGAATAGACAGAAACTCATAAGGCAGTAAAAATTATTTTTATGCATAAAGCTTCACTCTTTTGTATGTAGATCTCTGAAGGGCTGCAATTTGTAGCTTCACAGGATCTAACTTTAGAAGGAACTCAAAGGGCTGTATTCATTGTTGACAGTGGCAGAAACAGATGAGAGAAAGGCAGGAATAATGAGTAAACAGAAAGGATCAAGTTGTTAACAGGAATATAGTCCAAGTTTATAGACTGATTCCTCCATTTTTCTCTTAAAAAAATAAAAATTTAAAATGTATGTGTGATCACACAGCTTTTTAAATGGATACAGAGCAGAACACATAATTTATTCACTTTTTATTCTTTGCCCCCTTAAAAGAGATGTCACAGTGGCAAGGGAGAGAGAGTGATCCTTCATATGCTTGCAGTAAAATGAATTGATATGTAAAGACAGGATGGGAATAGGTGCCAAACTCTGACTGTAAACTGCAGCTCTTCCTTTGCACTCTTTTTCTTCTACAGCCTACCTAGAAAGCAACAGTAATAGACTCTTGTGCAATTTCTTTCTATCTTGCTTCTTCACTGCTAAACAATGCTGACAGACACATCACTGCAAGTTTGTCTCTTTATCCACCAGTAGTACACACCTTAAAGGAGATCTCTAAAGTCTGAAGAGTGAGTCTCCTCCACCCACTCTTCTTTCTCCTGTCATTATCACACCATAGTTTACTGCTTTTCAGAATTGCTTCCCTCCATCTCTTCCTCACAAGGTGATCTCACACGAAAGTGTATAGCAAAAAGGTACTGGCACCATGGGGAAAACTTGTCAAATGCTCCCTCCATGTTTCCTCTTTGTGGGCAAAATCTTGGCAGTGAGCAGACAGTGCTCTGCTCTGTGCATCATATGCATCACCTTGTGCAAAATTCACAGCACATTCAAGACAAATGCTGAAATACTCAGCAGAACAGAAGGTCAGATAAACATCCAAGTAAGGAAAAACGTGGGTGACCCAATGATTAAATAATAGCCATAGGGACAAAACTTTCCATTTTTTCCTTTTGGTTCACTTATGACATGTTTATAACCACTAGCTAAGTAATTAACTGCTCCTTCCTCCTTTATCTGTAGAAATGAATTTATGTATTATTATATACAGCTGCAGCATCTCCAGAAAAACAGATCTGTCTTCACACTCACCAGAGACAATTGCAGTTTGAACCAGAATTCATTCCACGGTGTAATCTCTGTTCAGTGGTAGAGAAGATGTCCTGCTGGGACAAAGCAAGGGCCATTTGTCACAGCTTCCCTTCCACTGAGAGCCAGCCTGTTCAGCCAGCAAAGATCAGCAAGGATCTGTGAAGTCCTGCAAGTAGGAGATTAAGTCATCACTATAAAGGTTTCAGAGTGACCCCCCTCAGCTACCTCTTTGGAAATATAACTGACACTGCAGCTGGTTAAGGACATTTAAATTGCTGTTTGTTAGTGGTGTTAGTTTTGCTATTTACCAAAGGGGAGTCTTGCAACATTGCATTCCACATTTATTTTTGCTGAGCTAGTTAAAAAAATTAAGAAGTTTCTGAAGGGAGCAGCTGCCTTATCTCATTTCCTATCTGTTCTGATCATACCTCTGTTCTATTAAAACTCTATTAAAAATCTTGTTGGCCTGTTCTTCTAAGCCCATGAGACATTATTTCCCACAATCCTCTCAATATGTTTTCCACCACTAACCCACAATGATCAGCAGTTCCCAGAAATATTATGTGTACTCTTGATTAAGACATCACATCCTCCTGTCTATACCACTGTCACTTCTTTACAATTACACTGCTAAACTGGCCATATCCACATTGAGATTAAGAGCTTAGCAGGAATGGACATTTCATCTAGAAAATAAGAATGGTCAGAGTTACAATCAATAGTCTGTCCCACACTTGTCAGTACAGCAGACTAGGATGTTCAGGGTATACCAGTCCTCACAGGCAAGAAAATGATGTGACAAGGTAGATTCGCTTCCCAGATCTTAATGACTGACTACCTGCTTCTGACTGGATTTATTAAATGTAACTCTTTGTGTCAGCTTGGAGCAAAGCTTGAACTCTTCTACATTGAAGGGCAGAAAAATATGTAACAATTGCTTTCCTACTCTAACTTGAATTTTTCTTATGAGTTATTAAGACCATAAATGCAAATTTTGCTGGTAGTTTAAATCTTAATTTAACTGTTCAGAGTCTTGGACTACCACAAGCTAAGTAGAAATGTGTCCTGAGGAAAACTGATGTTTATCTTTTGTCTGTATCCTGGCTTCTTGGTGAAAATAGTTGGCACTGGATATTGTCAGAGACAGAATTTGCTGAACTTATCTATGTTTTTATTTCATAATTGAAAGGAGAGTAGTTAATCTGAAACACTGTAATGGTCCAAAGCAAGAGGAAGATTATTATAACCTTGCTCATCTGGATGTGTACCTGACTCAGTTTTCTGGTTACCACAGGATCAATCCTAGAGGTATCTAGTAATACTTCTGTTGCCTTTAGGTTTTGTTAAGGAAGAATTTTCATTTTAAAGAGGTTATGACGATATAGACCCCCATTAGGGAAATAGGCTTTGATGTGGAACATTTTCCACTTCTTTATTTTGACTGAAAGGTCAATTTTCAGAATAAAAGAAAGAAAAAATTCCACTTGTCTGCTGTGAGAGCAGCAAACTCTCCCAGCTTTTGCACATTGACAGAATTACTTTTACTTTTCAGGTTCCTAATCCTACATCCTTTCTAAAACTGCTGTTCTTAATGCTTGACTTCTTATCTCAAGGATTAAAGGCCATTGCTGTTTAGAAGATATCTTGGTTTTCCCCCTCCATTCAGTAACAAGGTGGAATAGGAAATACAACCCACCTTCCTAACCATTAACTCTCCCAGCCTTTAGGGGAAATTCTCTGGGCTTAAATGCTCTCAAAAACTTTTGGGATGGCTTTTTCAGACTCTGCTAGGCACTCTCTGAAAAATAAGTACTTTTTTAAATGACAGGAAAAAGCAAAACCATTTCTATTTGTTAGTGCTTCAGTTTCAAGCCTTACAGCCCCACTCAGTAAGAGGGGAGATCTTTGGCTTCATAGGGGAAGTCTTTGTTACTGTCTCTACATTTGTCACTTGAGAAACAAAATATGGGATATGTGGTATGATTAAATATAAAAAGTCCTCAGCTGGACCACTGAAGTCAGCCATAGGGGCTTCAGATGGAATGAACACTCATTTGTATTCCCCAGGACAGAGCCGGGCAACCAGACGTGTCACAAGAGCCTGCAAATTTAATGTAATATTCACAGCAGCTGCCTTTTCTTAACCTAAATCCTCCATTCCTATAGAAACCAGCAGTGTGAAATCTCAGATTCCTTTCTGTTGTGTGTATCTGTGTGTTTTAGTTTCAGTTCTCTGACTACAGAGAATCTTGTAAATGTGGCACAGGTGCACAGTGCAGATGATGCACAATAAGACAAGTAATAAGGTGCTTGATTCTATAGCACAGTTCCAGGGTTCCTGATTCTCATTTCCCAAATAGTGAGATTGCCACTATTGAATTTTCTCTTATATTTGAGTATTGGGCTTGTTGCCAACACAGTGCTTTATGTAGTCTTCTGTTGAAGGATTATATTTAAATTATTATGGTCTTGAATACCTACCAAAATTATTTATTCAAAAGGTTTCTGTGTCCAGTGTTTGGGGAAAATGTAAAAACATTTAGAGAGAAAGTTTGCTTACCCTGCCAGGTAAAACCCCCAGGCAAACATAATACATTAAAAAGGAAACAGTTAAACGGAGCAGCAAATTCATTTGCTAGGTCCTTCTTAGTCTTCATTTTCCAGTTATGTTCATTATCACTTAATTGTCCCATTTTTTAATATTATTCTTTTTTTATGCTTGTGAATACTTTGCTTGTTAAATAAACATGTTTTTTCCACTTTTCTCCAATGAAATATCTTCCTGAACCAGCTGGGGGAGGGGCCACTTGAATCTGCTTTCTAGAGGGACCCCTTTGGAAGTTTCCTCCCTAATTTGCCCTAAACCAGGACAGCTACTATGTCAGAACTGAAGACACTCAAAGAACTGAGAAAAATAAAATCTCAGATTTCATTCAGCATCCAAGAAGGGATGATATATTTTTCATTTTACATTGAGGATTCTACTGAATTGTGAGCAGCAATACCAACCTATAGGCAAAAAATGAGGCTCTCATTATCATATCAAACTCAGGTAACCACCAGGCTCCATTCTACTGCCTCTACACTGCCCTTTTCAAACTCTCCAGTTTATTCAAGAGACCCACAAGTGGGTTCATAGATCTGACAAGGAACCTGCTGGAGGAGATTTGCGTCCTTTTGAAGCAGCAGAAAGCTGCCAGGGGGATACAGTATAGCTTTTCAAAAAGTATTAGGCATCTATGTTTAGGAAACTGAATCAAGATCATTATATAAGCTCCCATTATCATTAATGGAGATGCAATCAATGCAATCTATAAAGACCAGGGAGCTGGAGAGACTCTATTATTTGTATTGACAAGGCCTTCATTGATTGTAAGAGGATCATGGACACCTAGTGTAACAGTAAACATCTGTGCTAGATAACAAAATTTAGATTTCTTAATCTTAAACTGAACCAAACACCCTATCAACTTCATTTAGAGATTAGGAGTAGAAATAAATGTTTCTTGAGAGTTAGAAGCAGTTTCAAATTAGATAATAAATGAGAAAATGTCACTGTGCAGTGAAAATGTGATTATATTTTTAGAAGAATTTAATGGAAGTAGGGAAGAATATAAGAATAGTCTCACTCGGATAAATCCAAGATCTGTACAGCCCAATATCCCATCTCCCATAGTGGCCATGAGCAGATGTCAAGGGAAATGTAAAAACAGGGTAAACATGGCATTACCAGGATGCTCAGTATTGTTGTGATCAAAACTCCATTTTACGTGTATCTCTAATTAACAATATAAATGCAAGTCATAGGTACACACCTATATCACTTCCCAATAAGAATTTGAAGTTCACAGATTTTTATTATTCCTACCTCTCATTTGACAATTATGAAAGAATTTCAAAATGATATATGTTTTATAGTAGCTGATAATTTTTAGCCTGCTGACTAGACAATTTATGTGAAAAGAACACCATATTATTCACCAAAGTATGTATTTAAAAAATCCATCCCCAAATACTCCTCTATGATTTCCAAAAACTAATTGTGGTTATGGAAGAAATCTCCCTGACTTTCCAGACCTGTGCCAATCTGCAAAATCAATCTTCCATTTTAAAATGTGCTTTTACCCTCCCTCCTCCTCTACTTCTTTTATTTTGAGAACTTTCAGAAAACAGTCTTGTCACATATTGACAGTGACGAGACGGGGAGCCGACCTGTTCAGCTCAATGGGCTGAGGACTTCAGGGACAAACTGCAATAACTGAAGCCTGATCACTTTATGGGAGGGATTGTGTGTCTGTGCCAGGGGCAGCAGGGGCTGGAATGGATGATCAGAAAGCCTCCAGTGGTGTATTCTTATTTTAGTGAAGCGTGCTCAAACACAGGGCTTTTTCTACATTTTTCCCTTCTTTGTTGGTTTGTTTATTTGGTTTTTTGTTTGTTTTCTTTGGTTTTAATTACCCCTTTTTGAACCAAAAAGCACTGAGAAAACAAAATGTCCTGCCTTGCAAAATGTATAAAGAGGCAAAATTCATACCCAAATGAATAAAAGAATAAAGATGGGAAAGCCAAACTGGCTGGTATTTAGATATTCTACAGCTATTCTAATAAAGCAGCATGTTTATGGCGTTGCAGCAACAGGGCATTGAATGACCCACAACCATATTAATGAATTCTTATAACCTAGCAAATATGAGAACCTCTGGAAGGTATCCAGTGAGACTCATCCCTGAGCTTCCCTGACTCTTGCACTGTCAATTGGAAGTGATTGGGAAAAGGAAGTTTGCACAAATCAAAACATAGCAATCTTTTGTTTCTACAGAAAGTCAAATTCCAAGGTTGACCATTGGACACAGTTCTGATACAGCCTATTCATGAAGTCATTGCAAACCACACACAAATGACAGGGATACACCCAGTTGTGTCCCAGTCAATCAAGAAACAACCAAGAAAGACAGGAGTATCAGTGTGGTCCTAGCTGGTGATGCAGCACAGACCAGCTGTGATCTTCCACATGGAGTCTCTGTACTTGCTTCCAGGTATTTTCCCCTTCAGGCCCGAGCAACAGGGTTGTTGCAAACTTAAAACAAACTCATAATCTCTGTATGAGTGAAAATTGGGACACTCTGGGTGTAGGCATGAACATATATTGGGTTTTTTCTTATTTATATTCTTGTCTCTTTCTGTTATAAAATGAATGCCAATGAAACAGCAACTGGGGAATGTTAATGTGGGCACTGAAACATTAACTTCTCTGAGATATTTTTGTGATCTTAATTGTAAAGTCTTAAATAACATTGACAAAGCTTTACTTTCTATTGATCCTATTGCTATACTAAACTCTTCATTATGTGAATTTGTGAATGCTCACAAGAGTCAATCATAATTATGCATGGCCCAATATAATTGAAATCAAAACAATGGATTGATTCATGCTGCAAAGTGTTTTACTTCTAGCAATCTCTATGAGGCAATCAACCAAAAATTAGATCTGTATATCAGTGAGTTTTTTTATTTAAATATTAAGCAATAGTTAGCAAACCTCCAGAGGTCCTCTTCACATAGTTTCACATCAGCAGGCTAACTGATTTTAAACTTATATCCACAAAACTCCTAGGAATTATATTCAAAAGCATAAGGCCAGACAGTCTTTTCATTGAAACTCAAAAAAAAAACCCCAAAACAAACCAGCACATTTTATTCTACTAAACCATGTTCCTGAAAGTCTTAGTTTTAGTTCTACATAAATGGAATAAAAGACAGATTTTGTAAATGGAATGTAATGGAATGATACTACTTTATCTGAACCACTAATATGCCATTTTGAAATAAGGGGAACAAACTACTATCAACAGTGACATGGATGTTTGAAATAAGATTTTGGTGGTTTTGGTTTATTTTTTGTTTTGGGTGTGAATTATTTTAGCCAGTCCTGGAAATATTCTTTAAAATTTTGATCCAAAGAATTCTATTGAAAAAAGAAGTTTAAACTTCAAATTTAGCTTTACATTTTTAGCAACAGTAAAAAAAATAAAAAATCTAGAGATTTGGAAACTTTAGTGCAATTTTTATGAAACTATGATTGCGTAGAGAAGCTGAAATGATCCCTAGTCCTGATGGCAAGTGGTAGGTAAGGTGGAATCACTGTGACCAGCTGCAGAGGTAACCATGTGCCTGATATCACACTATTACAACACCAAAAGAAAAAAGTTATTGTTGCATGTAAGTTAGGGGAGAAAATAAGGAAAGATCCTTAAAAAGTTCTCCAATTTTATTTCATCCTGGAGATGGACCCAGGTGCAGACTCTACTGACTTTCGCCAAGAATACTGAATAATTTAAGAACAAAAATTATGTACAATTCTGCAAAACTCCTGTGCCCATCAAATGGAATAAGGTGTGCTCAGAGGGATGTTTATCCCCTCCCAATGAGATAAGGATTTCTGCCATAGTGTTCCAAAGACTCTTTATACTGACACTCTTATTTTGTCTTTCCCAACACTTCTTTAAATTCTTCAACATTCTGATTTCGTGTGGTTCTGATTTATCTGTAGTGATTTAGTCACTACAAGGACATACCTTGCAACCCCAGGTAGAAGAAAGCCATCAGTACAGTTGTCTTCCATGTTCATTCAGGGTATTGGTGTTCCTGATCAGATTCCACACAGCTGGCAAAGATCACTTCTCACAAACTGGCCTTCAAAGTAGGCATAATACACCTCCTAGGTGTCAAAGAGCACATTATAAGAAGAAATTATATAATTATATAATATCATTATATCATTATATCATTATATATATTATTATATATATTTATAGATATATATATAATTAGATAGATTGATAGATAGATGATAGATAGATAGATAGATAGATAGATAGATAGATAGATAGATAGATAGATAATATATAAGAAGAAAATTGGTAAGCCATGGGAAAACTTCATTTTCTCCTTCCTCTTCATTCCCCTCCCCTACCTGATAGATCATCAATAAACCAGTGTTTTCCCTTTTAATCTGGTGAAATTCAGCTTTCTCTCCACCCTGGCGTTCATAGTCCTGCTCCACTGGGCAAGGACAGAAACACAGAGAGAAATGTATATCCTCACAAAGCCCTTCTCTGCCACAGGACTCCTCAAGTCCTGCCCAAGGAGATAATTTCAAGAAGGCAAATAAGTTTAATTTAGCCTCTGGGCTTTTTCTCTCCTCATTTCTCTGATGAGATGTTCAATTCACTCCATTTTGTTGTCAGATTTGTGACATAGAGACCTGTCTCTGAGCAATGAGTCTAAAGCCAATATCTCATTTCACATAAGCCACTAAGCAGTCATCACATGGTAATGCTTTCCAGTCACTATGGATGCAAGGCTGTAAGCTTTCATCTATAAATTCTTTTTTAGTTGCTCATTTCTGTCAAGCTGGTCTAATCTACTTACACCTGGCACATTAATTCTTATCTTTTCCCTGCAACATTGTAATTATATGTTATTTCCAGCAATAATTAATTCTCTCTCGGGCGGGCTTTTTATAGCTTATAAGTCAAAGTGGGCTGCACCATACTAAATAATTAATTCAGACTGTGTTTTATGTCATGACATACACACAGCCCCCAGGGGTAACAGTTAGAGAATTCTTTTGAGAAGAAAGTCCTTGGCTCCCAGAGGTTTACAGACCAGAAAACACCAATTGTACCAGTTATTTCTCTCTCACCAGCAGTAGGTGTGTTCAGTTCTTTGTACCAACAATCTATTTGTGGAAGCTATTTCCAGAAGGCCTTGCTGTAGTCTCAGCTCACAAGACCATGCAGCTGCAGAGCACGTGAGTGATTACAAACAGCACATAGAGCCCTTCAGAAAAGCCTGCAACAGACACTTACCTGCACTTGCCCATATTTCTTGGGCTTCTTAATTATACAGAAAAGGGGCATTCACATGAAAAAAAATGTGATATGAAACTGTAGCTATGAGGTATTGACAAGCCATGCACGTAGAAAACTCAATCATTAAGCAAAAGTCGATAGCTAGATACGGTATCTTACCTAGGGGAAGTGTAATCTCAAATACCTCACCACTCCAGAAATACAGAAAAGAAAAAAATTAAGGGGGGTGGAGAAAAAGGTACTTTGAAACTAGCCAGGAAGACAGATTAGGTAACAGAAGCCTGAAAGTTTCAATATGCCTAAAAGGATTTGCTGGAATCCAATGAGAAAATGTTTGAAAGACGAAAGAACTCTATTAATAGGAAAAGTATAATTACCAATCATGAACTATAAAGAATGCAAATATATTAAACAGAATTATAACACATACCTCCTTATCAGAGGAAGGATAGCAACTGCACAAGGAAGACAAGGATCAGAGGATAACATTGTATAGAAAATATGAATAGTAACAATTTAAATTACTAGTGTATAATGAAGCATCAGAAGAGAAGTGTTTGAGGAATATTTCCAGATAACTTAAAGCAATAGCTTCCAAATTTGCTCTTCCATTGTGTTCTTTTGTTGTTGGTATAAGCAGTGGCAGTAGTAATACAGAGTCCTATCTTCCCTTTTAGCTGTTTCTCTGTCCAGCTACAGTACATTAACCAGCAGCACAACATGTCCCATCATCACAGGATCATTCAATGAGTTAGACCAAGTGAAGTACTGTTAATTTACTCCTTTGGATTAAATAAAGCAAAATATTATATAATTTTACTGATAGGAAAACCCCTCTACCATAAACTATTATATAAGTAGCAAAATGTTCAAAAACATATATATCCTACTGGAAAACCTAAATAGCTTGTGCAAAATCTTGAATCACACTGGCCATAATTTTTTTTTATTTTAGATAATATTTTGTTCTATTCATCTCTCTTATTTTCTGATTCCAGTTGTGCAGGACTGGATAGTTAAGTAGGAAATTATGATAGCAATGGGAACATAAGTCTATTTTTTTCCTGAGGGGTAATTCTATGGCATGACATATTCCTTTCTTTGTGTAGAAAACAGATATTGTTAAGGACTGAGTTAGTAATTGGCAGATGTGATTCACACAAAGACAATCAATTAAAATACAGTAAGGTCCTTCAGCAGTTGCTACCATGAGCTCTGTGTGTGGTGATTATAAGCATGCAATGATCCAAATCAAGGGTTTTCTTTGCATCTGTTTTGTAAATAGAAGAGGTTCATGTAAGGCCCATCCCAAATCTGTTTTCTTTAGATAACAGCCATGTGGCAGAGCTGGTGGCTGAAATCTGAACAATATATTTGAGAAGGGAACAAGGGTTCCAGTGCTTTTCCTTTATTTCAAAGGGGAGGCAGAGAACAATCTCTATCTTCCAGCACAGTCCAGGACCACAGCACACGAGCTGCTGTCCTCACAGACTAATACAGACTGAAAAGGAGGATAAGAGTATCTCAGACTGCTTTAGATTACCTGCACCAGATTTGGATCTCACTGGAGGAGGAAGGTGCCAGCCACAGGAAGGGAACTGTGTGGAGCCAAGAATGTGTTCTCCAATAATGAGACAAGGGCAGAAACGTTCTGTGGATGCAATCAGGTCATAATGACAGACTGTCTGCGTGCACCCTCACAAGGAAAACACCTTGAGTTTCCAGACTTCATAAGAAAACATGATATCCTGCACTTGTCAAGATATACCTTTACTAGTTCTATTTTAATAGATGAAGTTCCAGCCATCAGACACCTCTGAGCAGCACAAGCATGGTAACAGACTGACAATTAATAACACCCTTCAGCAATATGGCTGCAAGGTGGCCCAGAGCCATCCTGCAGCCCCTCAATATGAAAAGTGCTGGCAATATCTTTCTTTAAAACTGCAATACATGGGTGAGAGATAAACAGTCTGAAAAAAATAATAATTTCTGCAGCATATTGGTAAGAAAAAAAGAGCATGACACATTTTTTTTTCTGCTGTGGCTCTCAATGTTAGCTTGGAGAACAGAGCATACAGTTTTACTAGATGTTGTCTAAAGAAAATTACTGTATGTTTTGGTCTTACCTATGTTGATATTTTTCTTTTTTCCCAGCTGAGTTAATAATCAAAGGGTTATGGTCAGCCAAAGAAAAGGAAAGACATTGGAATACGAAGGAAAAAAACACATACTTTTCACCTTTTAAGTGACAGCATTCCAAAGATCTGGCAAAAAGCCAAAACTTTGTCAACTTCTTGTCTAAATATGAAAAATTCTTGACAGCTCCATTATGCATAATTTTCTACATCCCATGAGAGTCCTGGTGCTCATAAAGAGCCCACTTTCTGTCTCCTTTCCCTCACAGAAGGAAGGTAAGCGCAGTTACTTTAAAAGACTGAATAAGGAGCACGCTGAAATTCCTTTCAATTTGCAAACTGTCTCACAAGGTCATTAGTGCTGTTATAGCTGTTTGTTCGTGCTGTTATTTATACCATGGCATCTGACCACATTGCAAGCATTAAAATAAAATATCTGTCCATAAGGCAACTATAATTGTCATCTTCCTATTAACCACCTCTACTTATCACACAGGGAGAAGAAAGCTGCAGCATTCTGGCTTGGTCCGGCTCGTCTGAGGAACGGGGAGAGACTCATCTCAACTTCTGAGCAGAAATAAGCGTCCGCCATAAACAACAAGCAGAAGTGAAGTCCTTGAAAGTCCATGCTTTTAGTCAAAAATTTAAATCTGAGGACTCTGGCAGATATCAAAATGTGCTTTCTGAACTGGGCTGTGATGATGGCTACACAGTCCCTTGAGATTTGTACAGTGTACCTGGTGTACCTGATGTGAGCTCTGCTGAGAAACATTGGGATGAGCATATGCTGCTACACTGGGATTAAGAAAATTATGGGGTCCTGGATATCAAATCTTTAATTAAAATTTACAGAAAATGTTTTTTCAATTATGAACATATTTACTTAAAATTTCCCAGGCAGATCATTAAAATTAGCAAATTGCAGATTTATCAATATCTTTGAAACACAATATCCATCCTATAAATGCATGAAGGAGAAGGAAAAAGAGCCTGTTAAAAAAAAAATGTAAAAATTATGCTGATAATAATAAAGATGCTATTGTGATGCAGATATATATTGGTCAAACTAGGGTTTGTCTAGAAATGATAGCACAAGTGTTTCCTAATTTTGAGGGCTCACCTCTGAATCCCACTCTTTTTCCTGTCTTAACTCATCAGTTTCTACTATTTAGATGCAAAAGTAACCTTGTTTGAAACACATTTGTAAGATCTTGCCTTCTGATTTAAAAATAAAACTGAGAAATTTCACCTGCACTTTTAAAACAGTGGCACGGAAATGAAATGTAATTTCCTTAAATGTCAAGATTTCCAAATTTGATTGGGAATATGTTGCACATACATTTTATTTCTGTCTTACTGCAACTATCTGATTTGTTAAGCAGTATAGATCAGGAGAGCTGAAGGGTAAAAAATATAGCAATTTCCTTTTATTTTGATATCTCCAAAGCAGAAAAAACTGTGTAACACTGAATATTGCAGGTTCCTCCCATTTCAAGGACCAATTGCCTTGGTCCTTGTGTACTGCCATGCATATGCCTTTCTGAAATTAAATTCTCTCATTTTCTGTCAATGTAAGTAAAAATAATTCTGTATCAGAAAGGATGGAGAAGAGTTAAAATCATACAGACTGTCAGTATGATTCATCTGGCTAAATACGAATGCCTACCGTGCAGACATTTGCATCAGTGATGCCAGAGAATATACCCCTTTCATGCCTGATTGAGAAAAATTGCCACATCTAGAGCTCAGCTAATTTTCGTGTTTATGTTGGAAAGGAAGCAAAATGACAAGTAAAAAAAAATTAAAAAGCTCTGGAAGTGTCTATTCCTCTTATTCCTCTTCATCAACTAAAGAAGGAGTCTCGACAGCCATTTAGATGGAGATGTCTTCTTTGTAGGTGTCTAAAGTCAGATGAGATGAATCTTACCCCAAGTAGATGTCAACCTTTCCTGCATTTTCACAGTGTTAATTAAGAGCTGGAATGCAGACTTTATTCATCATACACCAAGTGGTCTGGTTTATCTGTCATCATCTGGATTAGTGGGGACTTTTCAACATGGCTGTTTACTCTCAGCAATTTGTCTCCGTCACTTAAATTCTATTGTTTCATTCTGCTTCCAGGACTGGAGAACTGATTGAACAGTTTTATACATAAAGGAATAACACAGAATGTATTTCCTAAATTTTAAGAGTACATTATTATATTGAACACTATTCATTTGAAATACTTAAATCATTGTTTAAATGTTCCTTGAACAAGATATTCTGGGTATTTTTTTCTTCAATAAACTTTTCATGGCTTCAGGAACCCTGTTTTGGCTACAGTGGCACAAAACATGCATCTAGAATTAATGTGCTGTGTGAACTCCATAAGTAAAAGTGAAACCAGCTCAAAGTTTGCCCATTAGAAGGTAGTTGTGACCTCCACAATTTATAGAAACATTTATCTCGTTCCCTTCAGGAGTGGTTCTCATAAGTGGTCCTTACCTACTTTCAAAGCAAATGCTGGTAGTCAGCGTGCAGAAAGAAATGTGCTAGAGAAAAGGGTCATGGTGGATACAGGCAGCTGCACCGATTAGATCAGATTGTTTTTCTGGTGAGGAAGTGTAAATATTTAACCCTCAACACTCAATGAAGGGAAGATTCCACAGGTCTCCACAAGCATGTTTTGGCTTGGGTACTTTTCATAGCTATATTGATGGTTTTAATACTGTCTGCCCAAACCTGACTATTTTAATACATTCATTCCAGGGATTTTACCCAAGAAATCTAGATTAAAGATAGATAAGCTACCTCTATAAAGGCTCTGGTCCTGGAGCCCCTGGTAGAGTGTAGAAATTCCCTTGCTAAAGCCTGATTTTTATAACCCCACCAGCCAAAGGAGCAATACAGAGCCCAAGAGGCAGAGGTGCGCACGTTATACACAGGGAGAAGAAATGTGTTTGGAATTGCTGCCTCAGTTAGAGGTGCCTTTCCTCAAATTGGCAATGCTGCTGCCAGTCAAACAGTATTATATGGTTGATCTATCCAGATGTGACATGCCATTGTAACAAACTTCAGCCCAGGATACAGATAATGTTTTCTGAAAATTGTAATTATAATAGTTCAAAACAAAAGGAATTTATAGAGTTTTTTCCTTCTTTTTTAAAGTTTTTAAACCCGTTTACCAAGTGTCAGAGCCCATGAAATAGAATGATGTAGGGTGCTCAAGTTAAGATGCTGGAGCAGAAATAGAGGAAAAACCTGGGTAATTTCCCATTACCTGCTAGTATCAAATACTTGAAATCTGGCTGCTCTGCTTGAATCACAATAAAGCCCCTTTCTCCCCTGTGAGAAGCAACAGAATCTTAACCAGCTTCATTATTTCCACTTCTACACTGCTTTATTTTTGATATTATTAACCTGTTCATTACTGGAATATGATATTTCGTACCCATATGTAAGCATAAGGAATAAATCTGCTGGATTTTCATTATTAGGGCTTTGAAAGTATTAATATCTTTAGACTTTGCATCCTACTGGATTTGCTTTATACTTCTCTTTCTCTGACTTTTACTATAGTTGCCTCAGTAGGTGGGAAAATACAGGCATAGAAAAGTTATCCCAAGTTAGCTGGACATTTTTTGGGGTTTTTTTTTATCCTTTTGCTCAGGCTGAAAAACAGTTTAGCACTCTGCTTTCCCACTGCAGATCTTTAGCCTCTAGAGTATCCATTTCCCTTATGGTCAACTGCCCATCTCCCTTTCTGTTATATTTCTGGAAATGCTGAAATGCCTTGAACAGTTACCCCTCTGACCATCTATGTCAATAAGAAGTTTCAGCCTCTCTGCAGGTACATTTCAGCCTCTTGCAGGAATACAGGCTGGAAAAGTGTCTATACCCTTCTTGTTTCTTTTTTAGAAACAAGTCTGCTCTCATAAGGATATGCTGACAGGAAATAATTATCTGTCCCTGAGAGTACAATGGATCTCTTCTCATCTGGCCTGTTTAAGTCTGCAGACAAAAATACAAGAGTTTGGAGTCTGGAAGTGCAGAAAATTAGTCTATTAATTTTGGGGAGACAGTTAAGAGGGACTTACAATTCCTTACACATTCACCTGTAAATGCACAAGGATCTAGACCAATGTCTCACCTAATAAAAGAGAGCCTGAGACACATGACTATAAAACCAGTCTCAGAACTGTCTTGAATTTAATAATTTTGTATAAGCTCCCCCAGTTCCTCATCTGGGATGCAAATAGGGACACATTTTCCAAATTATAATTCAGTAAGGGGACTGAAGGAAATTCCAGCTGACCAGAAGACTTCTTTGTGACTGTAGGTACTTCCAGGGTTAGACAGCTGCTGAATGATGCAAGCTGAATTTGATTCAAGCTGATGGAATATTCAGATATGTGCCAAAGTCTTCCAAAGCTGGAATAGGCATTGCAAGTCTCCCATGAGAATTTTGAATACTAAGAGAGATGATTTTCTACA